GCTCTGAAACTTGATACGACCTCACGTTGGTATGCGTTGGTCACCACGGAATTTTTCCGTATCTTGTCGCGTGACCTTTCCATTTATGTCCTGTGTTTTGGTGGTTCTTTCTCCTTTGTATCCGTTGTCAGTGGCCGATTTGATGCATTCCTGTCGTTTTAGACATTCGTGCCCAGTTAGTGACTGTGGCCGATGGCCCAGTTATGCCTTCCATCTGTGCAATGCCTGTTTGTACGTTTGGCTATAGGAGACACGCCGGGTGGAAATGAACTACTCGTCCCTGCCTGCAGTGCCGGAGTTACGTTTCCCGTCGTGTGAGGCCTTCCTTGTAAACCCGATTTCATTTTTTGAGAGTTTGAGGGCCATTGGCCGCGAGTTTGGAGCTGTTAAAATTATTCCCCCGCCTGATTGGGACCCACCGTTTGCACTTGACGCCTTGATCAATGACCAGGCGTTGTTTCACGTCCGCACGCAGGAGGTGCACTCTCTAATGGCGGCTAAGGTACCCTTGCTGCTCTGAGCCTTCCTACTTAGCTCCTGTCTGTTAGCCTGTCGTTGCTCCTGCGCAGCTGGTGGCAGTACAGGAAATTGAGTAGTCTGCTGCCAGCCGCGCTGCCGCCACCGCCGAGGACGCTTTCTTCCCTTGTCCTTCTTTTTGCAGCCTTTTCAGCACCCAGAGGCGCCCGTCCACGCATCTGAGCTTCGTTCGCATGACAGAGAACTAACCCGTCAGGTTTTCGGTTGCTACAGTCCCAGCATCGAGACAGTAGAGGCGGTTTATTGGAAGAGTGTGGAAAGCGGTTGTCCGCAACTCACCGTCCACTACGCTGCTGATCTCCGGACAAATGAACTTGGGAGTGGATTTCCCGTCGCGCCTGCAGGGACAGACGCATCAACGGCAGCGTGTAGCAGAAGCAGCAGCAGCAGCAGCACTGAGGCTAGCGTTGGAGGAAGCCCTCAGGAAAGGCAGTGCCAAGCGCCTCTTCAACACGCCCATGAGGGTTTAGCGAAGGCAGAGTTGCACAATAAGCAGCTGCAGCAGAAGCAACAACAGTACGACTACTGTACCCATCCATGGAACCTTGCCCGTCTAGCCAGAGTCGAGGGATCACTGCTGCGACATTACCATCGGGATGTACCTGGGGTCACTTCCCCCTGGCTGTACGTTGGCACCGTCTTCTCAAGTTTCTGCTGGCATACCGAGGACAATTTTTTCGCAGCTTGCAACTATCATCACTGGGGCGCTCCGAAGGTAATCTAGCTGTCATGCCAGCGGGTGGCTCTGTATATTTGACCTTCGCATGTCGAGGAAGTTGTGTATTTGCGTCTTTTTGGTAGATGGCACGAAACTCTATGTCATGATTGCTTGGTATGCATATCCTAACGAATATTACCGTTGGCCTGATGCTTGAGGGACGCTTTTTATGCTTTAGGCAGCATTATAGCTTAGGAGGGCTGTTATCAAATATGGGTGAAACTGGCGTGTTGAGTATTACTGATTGCTGCTGTTAGGCTTGCTGCTTTTTCAGATATGGTATGTGGTACCTCCCTCCCGCGCGCCTTCAGTGGAGAGGACCCTGCAGTCCTACCTCGCGGACCGGGACCCCCACTACGTCTTGCATTCCCTTACCGTGCAGCTACCTCCCTCGTTATTTGTGGAGAACGGCATACCTGTGTATCGGATTGAGCAGCACCCGAAGGAGTTTGTTATGCTTTGGCCTCGCACCTACCATGCGGGATTCAACGCGGGGTGAGGCGCTGCAGCAAATCCTTTGTATTTCCTTTGTGTGCTGCCGAAGCCCCAAGCACAGGACGCTTAAGTTGTGCGGCCTCTCCCTAGACATTGGGTCGTCTACATACCTCACGCTTACTACGTACGTTAATAGCAGTGGCCGATTGGTGATTCGCTCCCTTGCGTTGTGATGTTTCAGCTTCAACTGCAACGAAGCTTGCAACTTCGCGCCACCGCTTTGGCTACAGTGGGGCCAGAAGGCTATCCGAAGTTACCGGTACATGCGATCTACCTGCATTCCTTATCAACAGCTAGTACTTCGTTCTGCCATTCAGTCTGCCGGCGGTTTTTCTGCGCGCCAGCAACTCGAGCTCTGTCGAGCTGTAGCTCGACTCCTCATGGAGGAGTTCACCGCTCGTGCAGGTGCTGTGCAACAGCAGCTGGCTGCGGCACCAATGCAGTTAGCAGCAGGGCAGCTTAACCTTGTAGAAGCCTTGGATCCAGACGTGAAGGGCTGGCGACAAGACCTCAGACGGCTGCTTTCCACGTTCGGAGACTTGCTTGTGCCGCTTCCATTCGGGGATGATGATGGCCCGAAGGAGGAGCTGCTGGCTCGCGTTGCTGAAGTCTTATCGCTGCCCGTTAAAGACTGCAGCAGCTGCAAAGCGTGTTGCTCCCTTACCTGCGCCACTTGCTGCCACCAGGAGGATTATGTCTGTCTCGATTGTATTGGTAGCCTTTCCTGCAATTGTGCACAGCGAGTAGTCCTCTCAAGGGTCCCTCTTCCGACTCTTCGACTTGTTTATCAACACTGTCTGGACACGCTAATGCTACAGACCAAAGAAGTCACGACTGAGAGCTCTCAGCAGAGGCAGCAGCAGCAACATCTTGAGTGCCATTTAGGCGCAGATGCCAAGACTAAGGAGGACAACACAGTGTCTTTGTCTTCTGAAAAACCAGTGAGTGCAGCACTGGCAGTGGCAGCGGCAGAGGTTGCTGCTGTTGTCGAAGGAGTTGCAATGAAGTGCCCCTCGCCCGGAGCAGATGAGCTGGCGCCTCGAAAACGGGGAAGGCCCCGCGCAAACCCCCGAGCGTCAGGAGATGCGAAGAAGCGCGCAGCAGAGGCAGGTGCTGCAGCAGCTCTTCACGAGAAACCTCTTCTCCAGGAGATTCAGGAAGATTCATTGTTACAGGCTGTCCCCCCAGTGTCTGAGCTGGTTGCTCTTGAACGCAAGTCTTACAGGGGCGTTGACTATTACGCCGTCAGCTACAACGACGAAGCAGATCAAGAACCAGAACCGCAACCACCTTCCCCTCTGGCGGCTACGTCTCTTCCTTCCGTTACAACGGAGCCTCTGCAGCAGCAGCAAGAACAGCAACAGAACCATGCAACAGCGGCTCACTTGCCAGGAGCAGAAAATCCTGCTATCCTACATCAGCTGGGCTTGCAGGGATTTGCAGCTGCTGCTCTGCAGCACCGGCCACTGCAGCAGTCACAGGAGGCACAGCAGCAAGAGCTGAAGCAGCAGCAAGAATTGCTTCAGATCAAGCTACTGCTTGGAGAGCAGCGGATGCTGGATTCTTCAGCCGAGCAGCAACTAGCGGCACTGCAGCAGCACCACGAGCAGCAACAGCTTCAGCAACAGCAGCTTCAGCAGCAGCACCGCCAATTGCAGCAGCAGCAGTTGCAGTTGCAGCAGCAGCTGCAGCAGCAGCTGCAACAACAGCAGCAGCGACAAGCGGACTTGCACGCTTTGCAGGGCGCGGGGGCTCTGGAGTTACATTCCCACCATGGTTTGCTGCCTCATCCGCCGAGCAGTAATAGCATGAGCGCGCTTTCTGCTCATCAGCATCAGCGCGATGGAGAGAGGCTGCACAGCCTGTCTCCTTTGACGCATCGGTCATCAGAGAACAGAGGCAGCAGCCAGATGGGGAACGCCGGGGCCCCGCAGCAACAAGAGGCGGAAAACCTTCGCGCGAAGAAAAAAGAGCCTTTGGCCGTGGACTGCGGCGAATGGGCCCCGTGTGAGGTGGGATCTCAGCTAGACATAAGCGTCGGACGCTTGAGCAGCTCTCTGGTGCCAGCTCCGGAAGAGGCGCCACCCGTTGTAGGAAGACGCGGCAGGAGGGTCGTTCCCTTTCGGGTGATATCTCCGGACATGGTGGTCGACAGGAGAAGAGAACTGGCGGTGAGGAGGTATGTGCAACAACTAACTTGGAGGTATTTTATAAAAACTCTGAGGGAGGAAGCTGAGGATGATGATGAACAGATCTTACCCATGTTCAAACGTGCCGCAAGACCAGAATCATGATTGTTTTGTTGCTGCAGATCTACACGTTCAGCTTCACACACATTGACTTATGTCATGTTTGCACTTGTTTTTGCATGCATAGACAGACCGAGCTAGAGACATATTTTAATACGGTAATGTCAAGTGCCCACAAATTTTGCATGAAGGTGCCGTGGGCCCTTTTTGCGCGTACAGACATACGTGTGCGCATAAACCGACTTCTCTGGGTGAACTCATTATCTTTGCATGTGACGTTAAGCCGCATATGTATACAAGCAAGTTCACTTTCCTGTGCTGTGGTTTATGAATACATGTATCTGGATATATACACACATCGCTGCCCCGTAACGGGGCAGAAACTAACACAGTGCAGATGGATCCGGCTTTACTGCACGAGCCAAGATTACGATAGCGAGTCGGTCCCTACTACAAGGAGAGCCATATGGGTTGCCCTATGTTTCTGCACTAAGTTCGGGAATATATTGTCTCAGCAGCCTTGAGTTGCTGCAATAGGCTCGCTTTCGCTCGTATCTCCCATAGATAGCAGAGAGGGAGGGAGATTGCTGCCAGGATCGACAGAGCGAGCCTCCACAAAGCTTTTCTTCATCGTAAACGAACTCCGGGTCGCTGTGTGCTGACAGGCTGCATACGGTGTTGTCAGTTAAGACATGATGTCTGTAGCTAGTTGCAGAAGACAATAGGGTTTTCTTGGCTTTTCTTGGAGAGACTCAGGGAACGCAGGGTTGTCGCATACTCATGTGGCGGCTGCCTACAAATCCTGCACTGAAATTCTCACTGCTGCTCAAATATCCCGTATCAAAACTAGTGCCAGCCTAACAATGCAATATTTAAAGTCTCAGTCAAGCCCGCGGGCTTCACCTGAAACTGAAGCTGATATGAAACTGAAGCTGATAGCAGGGTGAGGGTTACGACTAAGCAGCTGTTTGCAAGCATGGGCTACGAACCAGCAGAGGGTTTCACTCTGCACGCCGCTTTCGTTTAACGTACCCTCGACGCCTGAAGATGGTCTCTCTCAGGCGTGTCTTTCTTTGGAGAACTTTGGCTTTGTTCCTTCGGCGCTTGCGCTGAGCATAGGCCTGCGGATTTTCTAGGAACTTTTGCTGTACCTTAAGCTTCCGCATCACTCGCTTTGAGGAGACGTTCTGCCGTGTGTTTGTTAACAGTATGCGGTATGTTTCCTGGTGTCCGGCGCTCCTTAGGAGCCGCTCCATCTTCCTCAGCAATGTCGATCCTCCCGTTGCAACTTCACCCAACTGCCTTAACGGATCTAACGAGCGAAGTGACTCCCAGACACTCTGGTTGTTCTTCGACAGATAGGCGCCTGCGGTTTTCTCTTTAGCACCCTCTTCCATGCTTTCCATTTCGACTTCTACCAGCTGCGCTAGCACTGAGTCCGCTACGAGTTCAGAGTGGAGCGTCGAACAGCGGTACGCCACATCGAAAACATGCCGCAGCACTTCGTGAACCACTTCGCCCTTTGCTGCTGCTAATTTTCCTGCGTTGGAGTCATCAGGGAGCTCGGCGAGGGGCAGCAGCTTAACCAGAGAGCCGAAGAAAGTCAGAATCCCTGCAACGCGCACTACTGTACCTTGCGGATTTTTTGCCTCCCGTAAGCTGTTACCACTGTAACCCAACCGACCCAAGTGTATGCGAAGCCAACGGCTGAGCCCAGATACAAGGAACACCAGAGGATGCAGTGTGCCTGCTTCGTGGCAGCGGTCTGCAACCATCTCTCCACTATTAGATTTGGATGTTTTCCAGGAACTGATCGGCACAGGAAACGATGGGACAGGCCGTCCTGCTGTAACAGACGTCTCCTTGTCATCCCGCGATGCTTCCAGTTGCATTTCATTTAATACCATTTCGTCAGTCTCGCCGGTATCCGCTTCCTCCAACTCTTGTTCACCGTCACTATCAGGTAGCGAGTTCTCTTTCTTTGATTCTCCCTTCAGTGTCTCGTGATCTTCGTGATCTGAGACGACGCCATGAGGGACAAGTGTCTCAAGTGCATTTTCCTTAACATCATTCCTTGTCTGTTCCTCATCACTTTCTCCCCGGGAGCAGGCAAGCTCTGTGCCGTTCGGAGAGCATGTGACCTTTGCTGCTGTATCTATGGTGCCGCAAACCGCTGATGGACACTCCAGTACTTGCTCAGGACACGCCTCTGCACTTCGGATGCGTTTGAGGGGTTCTGAGTCGGCCATTTGTACATGGTAATCTGAAAGAGCGTCAGAGCAATTTTGCCTATCCACTTCCTCCTCGCGTTTTGAAACACCTGTTTGAGTTCTCCGTGGTTTACTGTTGACCGGTATCAGTTCAGGGGAGCTGTAAGCAAGCTGGGCCCAACCCATGAGAGCAGCGATCGCAAAAGGCACAGCAGATGGGTGTCTCTCTAGCATGCTGTCTTTGCCAAAGTGCTTCGCTAATGCCAAGCCCAAATCCGTCAACGGATTAGTCTGATTTGCAGGACTGGGTCGCTCCGCGCACTGGCTGCTCCTCCCCAGTTTAAGGAAGGCAAGCAAAGGAACAACAGCACGACGCCAAGCTGCAAATGGCGTTTGCAGCAAGTACTGGCCTACACACCGCAGCGCCGCGCAGCGCACCCATGCGTTTTCATGCCGTAAGCACGTTCCAGCCAGCTCCTTCCAGAGCTGCGCTGCATGCAGCCCCGCAACAATTTGCTGCTGGGGCAGATTGGGTTGATGATCTTCGAGAGTGGCTTTAGAGCTCTTTGGTCGGTCGCTACTGTGTGGCACCCAAATGTCGAAGGTGGTTATGAATTCCTCTAATCCACGCCTCTCAAGAACCTTAGGGTCCCTCTCCACAGCATTATCTGCTCCTGCTGCAGTCAGTCTACGCAATCCCTCTGTGCCGGACTTCTGCCAGATCTGCGCAGCCTTCCCGAAAGCATTTTCCATTAAATGGAGACCACCAACTGCAAAAATTTGTTCAACCACTTGTATTATTTTGTATAGTAAACGCCAGTCTATCAAGGAATCTGGAGCATGAGTACCGTCTGCGGCTGTGTGGAACACAGCGCAAAGAAGCTGCAGCACTGCCGGCATGAAGTGAGCAAGGCATTTTCGACTTATACTTTTGCCAATATGTGGCACAAAGACGCTCAGGAACTCAAGAAGGGCCATCAAGTGCCGAATTCGGGAAAGCAAGAAAACCCTGAAAACAAGACAAAACAACTTCAATTCAAAAAGAACTATAGCGGCTCACAAAATGATGTCAGAACTTCTGAACGTGCGGACCCTTGGAATTGTTTAGAGAATCTATAGTTTGAATACGGTGGCACGACAGACGCAGCCTACCTAGATACAGTTTCGAGATAGACCTGGAGGTGTGACGTTGGATCATCCGCCACTTCAACTAGCTGCAGAATCTCCCTTACGACTTGCTGTAGTAGCTTGTGGGCAACTTGGTCCGTCTCGGTTGCCAGTGTTGAGCAGCATGTCAAAACCGCTACCTGCCCGTAGCGCTCCATAAAGAGCTCTGCAGGAAATCGTCGCTGAGAAAAAGCAACGAAAAGACAACGAAAGCAGCCATCCAGGGGTGAAGTCTCAAGTTTAATGCTGCTACGAACACTTCCCAGAAAAAGCTTCAGTACTTCAGCTGGCACCTGCCGTTTCGAAGTTGTGGTTCTGCAACTGTCTACAATACTTGAGCTGGCATCTGGCATTTCTAAGTTGTTCTGTAGATGCAGCTGTCCACCGTATATCTGTCAAAGCTTTCCGCCACTCTGGCTTACCACTACTTTCAGAAGGGCACCAATGGCTGCACGTCTGCCGTAGACGTCGGAGAACTTCTGTTGTTGAAGAAGAAAAAAAACTCGCCTTTGCTGGAGCTTAGGAGTCATAGGAAAATTGAGAAGGAACGAAACATAAACGTCCGCACAGATGTTTGACAGTTTCTGGCTGATACCTGATGAGGTCGCGTGCTGCACCATGACCCTTGCTACGCGATCAACACACTCGTATACAAGAGGCAACAACTCAACTGTTGCAGTTTTGACTTTCCCCGCCGAATTGTCTCCCCGCTCCGCAACTTCAGCGTCTCGCCGCCGCTTTTTCTGCGCATTTTTGCGAAGAGATTTTGTGTCCATTTCCCCCGCTGCCTGCCTTGACTCCTCCAAAGCCCGCCGAGCAGCCTCACCTGCAACGTCTTTGTAGTGCTGTAATACTACACGTTTGAAGAGGAAGAGGGCACAAAGCTGCAATTGACTATCCTCTAAAGAAGAAGAAATGTGGGCGAGAAGAGCTTCCTTGAGAAAAAATTGTCCAGCAGCCTGTACCTGCTCCTCAGTCACGACTGCGTCCACACTAAAGCTGACATCTGCATGAGGCGCTGCAGTAAGTGCCCATTCCCTGTGTGGCGGCTGATGCTCTTCGTGCAGCCGTCGCTGCTGCTGGTCTTGAGGCCTCCACGGCAGTATGCGGAGCTGCTCTCGCAAGAGGGACCTCAGTATGTCCCCACCAATATGTTGCGACGGGTTCAGCGCCGTGTCCATCCATTTAGAAGCCTGCGGCTGTAGCAGCAAGGTTGCCAGGAGCTTCGTGCAGATGGGAAGAAGCTCTGAACGAGCCGTATAATGATAATTTACTTGCACACCGCTCCCGCTACCGCAAGAATGAAAAATTCGCATCGTCAGGTAAGCTACCAGGGCACCACGGCTTTCAAGTCGAGGTAGGCGCAAGGAGATTAACTCTAACAAACAGCGGGCTCCCCATGAAACCAGCTTAGTCGATTTGCAGCTGAAACAACAAACTACCTTCACTGCAAGCTCATCGAGCTGCTCCATGCAAGAGCGCAGAGCGCGCGCATCAAAATTTTGTCCAACCAATGTGGCTGCCTTCGACTGTGTGACCTGCCCGGTCTGTTTTTCCCTCATATTTCGCAGTGGCATCTTCGCTGTCTTGAGTGATAAATGAAGAAGACGGAGGGCTGCTGTCCCCAGCAGAGAGGACTGTGTCGACAGCTCGAGGCCTACTGCTCCTTGAGGTCTACTACGAGTTGCTTGGGCGAGTGAGCGTCCTATGATCGCGCCAGGTTGTAAGCTCATGCTGCGTTCCTTACTATTCTTTAGCAACGATATTAGCAGCTTCCTGCTGCTCTGTGCAGCCAGGCCTTCCCACCTACCGTAGACTGGAGGGGAATCTGTCTGCTCAGCGGTGAAGCTTGTTTCTTCTTCTGTCTCTTCGCCTTTCCTTTCCGGGAATAGCAAAAGGCGCAGGGCTAGCAAATCCTCTTCATGAGAAGGCGATAAGGTTAGCGGCATCTGCTGCCCACCGTCTTGAGACTCGCACTGCATGGGTGCTGTGGGTGTCTCCACACAAGCCTGCGACTCCTTGGCGCTGTTGTTTCCTTTGCGCCTCTTTGCATGCCCTTTACGATTAAGCAGCAACAGTTGCTGCCTTGAGAGCAGATAGAGCGACTCGCCGAGTCCACGCTCGCTCTGTAAAATAGGATGCAGCAGCGGAAACTGCAGAGTGGCCACCGTGAGGATGAGGAGCTGCTTGGCTGTCCGCAGCTTTCGCTCTAAAGATATCTCCTTGTTACGGCTTAAGCCATATACGAAATGCAGCAGCAAGTCCTCAGTCCGATTAACATATTTGCTGGAAAAAGCCGCTGAACGACTCCATCCTTCACGTTTGCAAGAGACTCCGGTGAGTAGACCCAGCACGAAGGGAAGCAGCTGGTCTGTAAGGCACTTGATGCTGCTGCTCTGTGTTAGCAGTAGCAACATGGCAGGCCCTTTAAGCGTCTGGGCCTCTTCTACTTTAGCGTGTGTGCTAACGTCACTAATTTTCGCAATAGAAGATGCGGAAAGGCCGCCGACGTCATCTTCATCAACTTGCCTGGCGAATGCACGGCGGCCTTCTTCTTGATCAAGGCGGTCAGGATCTGCCACGCGGTTCACCTCCTGTATTGCAAACATATGCATACTAAACTACTGTTCATGGGAAAGGGGCTAAATACGCATAGATAGGAATCCAACGCATGCAACTTCAACAGCCATCCTTATATTTGCACTAGAAGCGGCCCTCATCCACTACAAGCGGCACGCATTCCTAAAACACACACATGCCAGGCCATATATCATCGCTTCTGCTGATTTGCAGTGAATACTAGACGTACTTCTGCAATGAGAGGCAGCAAAAGTGGGACTGCGGCCTCGAAGGGCTGGACGAATCGCGTTCCGTCAATGGTGGCTGCTTCCGCTGCTGCTTGCAGCACAGGAGTGCCTGACAGTGTAGGCTGCTGCTGTTGCAAGGCGCTAAGCATTGCATGAAGTGTATACAGCAATACAGGCCGTAGAAAGCTCTGTTGATCTGCCTCTGCGCTTCTCTCGCTTTTAGGACCCAGCATTCTCTGTATCTCCGTCACAAGGTATGTGAAGTAGGGAGCCCCTAGATCGACTGCTAGACGAGTCAAAGCCATGCGAGCCTCCCGGCGAGCACTACGTTCCCGTGACCTGCTCGCAAGTGACAGACAGATACGCAATATTAGGCTGATGCGCAAATTTGACGGCCCGCAGTAACTCTGTGCAGACAAGCTCTTATCACTAACAAAAGACGCATATGGAAAAAAACGTCTATGATACAAGAACATCCCATTCGCATTGCTGAAGTGGATATACGCTTATCTGCACATGTGATTCTCACTAGAATGAGATGCAACCGCTGCGCTTACCGTAGAGCGAAGGTAATTGTACGAACAAGTCGTGGTAGCTGCAAGTGAAATTCGGTTGGCGGTAGCATCCGCGCAAGGAGGGCGAGAACGGCAACAAGCTCTGTACGCACCACTGGATTTTCGTACTTCTTGCTCTCCTTGCCCTCGAGCACTTTCCCCGGCTCATCAGTAGATTCCTGCTTTGCAGCCACTCGCCTGACTTTGCTGCCAAAGGCAAGGGGATAAAGCATTGGGAGCAGCTCTTGCCGGATGCAGCTTTCCACCTTTTCCTTCCTAAACCAGAGAAGAAACAAAGAAACCGCAAGAAAATCTCACTATAAGCCGAAAAAAGCATCATGCAGGCGTGCAGTGGCAAGTAACAGCTAACTCTCACCTCATTTGGGCAGTCATCGAGGATGCGTTGATCTGATCCAACGTGCTGCCATCGTCAACTGTATCTTCGCTACTTCCCACTTCCTTTCGTCCCGTCCCACTCGGTACATCTGCTTCCGGCTGCTGGATTTGCTTTGTATCTTGAACCAAAGCTTCCATTTCTTTTGATCCACAGACACTTGCGAGACACTTGTTTGTATTTCCCTGTCTCTGTTCATCTGTGATTCGAGGTTGCGCTAGTGTCTGATGTACTGCGTCGGTAAGGCCAAAAGGAAACGCCTTGAGGGTAGCTGCAATCGCGCGATGTATAAATGCCTCGCGCTGAGGCGTCTTCCCTAGGTGTGTGACAAGTTGCCTCAATGTTTGTATGCAAATTTTCAGAGGCAGTTGAGTACAACACTTTGCCAGACAAGCCACTCCATGGTCGGCCATCTGCTGGCTAAACGCCTCGGTGCGGCCTTTGAAGTGTTGAGACGATGCCTTCGAGCCTTTTTGCTTTCCCACCTGGCCTCCAGCATCACTGTCTTGCAATATTGCCCATATGGCAAGGGGCACGCAAAAGTGCTTCAATGTATTAGGACATAGTTTCCCAGCCGATGCAGCCTTGGTGAGGAGCTGTATCCCTCTGGCCCTCCTGTGCTTTTGCATGTGCAACAAATCCACCAAAATGTCTCCACCGCCTTCGCGCTCTGAAGCTTGTTGCTCCCCTGCAAGAGCCTCAAGTTGAGCAGCCCTGGCGGCAGCAGTCGCAGCTCTACCCGTCTGTCCGCTGGCTACCAGCTGCTGCGCGAGTGCGGCCACTTCCTTGATGGCAGGAGTAAGCTGGGTTGCTGCGAGTAGTGGGTACAAGTCTAGATGCAGTCGCATATTTCTTTGTTTCTCGTCTGACTCTGAAATAAACAATGCAGATATCGACTCGTCATCATCTGCTACAGCAGCCTGAGGAGGGGGCAGCAAGGGACCTGCCGGCCCCAGCGTCCTCACAAGTGCATCAAATGCCCTCAGGGCCATCTGTTGACACTGTTCCTTCATACTACGTAAAAGCCGGTGAAGATGAGGAATGATGGACTTCATAATGTGCCGCTGCATCTCAACGGCAAATGCCCAATCAGACTCCGCAGCCCCTTGTGCCTCATTTTGGTGCTGAGACCCTGAAAATTGAACGACAGTTCGCCGCGTCGCTGCTGCAGACGCAGCTGCGCCAAGGGAAACCGCAGCCTTTCGGATGATAGCAAGCGCAACGTGCTGTAGCGTAATGTCGTCCGAGCACTCTGAAAGAAGATACAGTACGTGGCGAACCACCGGCTCGAATGCAGATGCGTGAAGGTTCAGTCGCCCCACATCACACGCTTGGCCTCCCCTTGCCTGCCCCCTTCCTATGCCATTGTCTTCCTGCAGACACTTTTCTCGCCGTGTTATTCTTGCCTCATTTTGTTTCACAGCATCTTCTGAAAGCTTCCTTATGTTCCCCTTTTCTTCACCACCAGCTATTTGTACATGAGCCTGTGAGTCGCTCGTCTGAGTCTCCGCTGCACTGTCCTTGGTGCCTTGTGCGAGGGCAGGGGGATCGAGGTGATTCTCTACCAATGCCAAGAGCACCGAAACCTGCATGTCGACGTCGGGTCGCTGCTCTTCTGGAGGGCTACGGCTTCCCGTTTTCAAAAAGTTTGCGCACACCATCACAAGCCCCACACAAATTCGCCATGCTGCTGCGAGTTCGCTGCTCCCCGCTAAAATAGCAGAAGCAGGCTCAATTCTGTCTACGAGAAGAGATGGCAGAGCATTATCCAAAAGGCATTTATTCAGAGGCCCTCCCGGTGCTAGCCAGGAAACCGGTGAAGCCTCAAGATTGCCTGTCCCCTCTGCATCCCAGCAAGCACTGATTTCCTTCAGTGCAAATCCTCGAACCTGCTCCGAGAGGAATTGCTCCTTCAGCACGCAGCCGCATGCAGCGAGCTCGGTCGCCAGCAAAAGCTTGGAGGCCTCAGCGCGGCACTGCAAATCTTCTGCAGCCTCTAGAAGACTGCAACACGACGCATACAGCCCACGAAGGAGCCTGCGCATTTCAGAAGACCTTTCATATGAGTCATTGCTAGATCCCAGCGTCCGCCGCCAACTAGCCAATGCAGGCAATAGTCCCTGTATTGCAACAAGCGTCAGCTGCTGGCGTGCTGCTGCCCCACCAGAACGCACTCGCAAAGGCAAGGAGAGAAGCAACAGACGAATCAGTTTTGCTGCCGTTGGGATAGAACCCGTCTCAGAATGATGAGCGAGCTCGTTCTGGGCTTTTGGTAGTTCCTTGAAAGAGTCCTTATCTGCACAAGCATATGCTGCAAGACGGGTCAGCAGCTGCAGCTCCTTGAAACCCACAAGCTGCGCTCTTTTTCTACGATGCAGGAACGCCTGAGCACTGTCATTGGCATCCGCTGCCTTTCCACCCTCAGAAGCACGATCTGCCAGAGTTGCTGAGTGTGCATCTCCACTTTTTGTCAGAATGCCTGCATCTCGTCGCGCGTTAAGTAGCAGCTCCATTGAGTGCAACAAAATGCCCATGTGTGGCAGCAGTATTTGAATGCCCCGTTGCTGCTGGAGCTCGTGCTGTCGCTTCATGGTCTCGTAGGCCTCTTCGAATCTCTTGAGAGATATAGCTTTGTCATTGTCTACAAATTCGTGTTTTGATTCCTGTTCATCTCCGTCACTTTCGTCGGACGAAGAAGATTCGTAGCTGTTGCGGTGGCGTCTCCTCTGGTTCACGTGCTTCATGGCGTTAATCTGCCGCAGAGAAAGCCGCAGCTCCTCTTCATGCTGCTCTTTCGTGCGACCTCCAAATGAGAGAAGCAAAGCTGTCTCAATAGCAGCTTCCAGCAAAGGAGTTGTACTTTGCCTGCTACGCTGCAAAAACTTCAGCAAAGATCCAGAACCTATGGCCCCTAAAAGAACCGGTAGAGCATTTGGAAGTACCTCCTCGTACAAAATGAAGAAATCCTGAAGCACCCACAGGCATTCATGGAGCGCAAGTGCAACACAAGGCCGGTTTCAGCCTCCAGGTGAGCTGCAGCCGCACTCAGCGGGACATGTTCCATGCAATCCCAGCCGTGTGAATCTTGCTCCAGTGCTGAAACCCTCACACAGACTTCGATGGAAAGCGTTGAATCATGCACAGCTCAATATAAATTCAGGATGCTGCCGCATTGTCATCCCTTCTGTCACTGTCATATTTTTCAAAACCAAGTATATATTCCTTCACCAATCACGTACGTATAGTTCAAGCGCCGGCGGATGCTGCATAGATTTGCTATCTAAAATAAATCTGGTGGCTTACTGCATTCGTTGCCCAAGAAGCGACAAATCGCACTATAGCAGGACAACTCCCACTCCTCTTGGGTTCCCCCAAATGGCCAGCTGCTCCTGTTTCGACCGCAGTAGAGAGCAGAAGCTGCAAGCTGGGGGCTGCGGGAGCCAACAGTACTTTCCAAGAGTCGATGAAGTCTGAAAAGGACGATATCAGCCAATGCAATGAATCAATCGCTATTCTGATGCAATGTTTCCTGTGGCGCACATTTACTGCAGCTGTCAGATCCTCCTGATCGTCCTCCGAATCTGATGCAACGTTCTGCACAACTTTTTCAGTCTTTTGCCTGATTGCTTTTGAGAGAATTTCTGTATCCTGTTCTTCGTCGGTGCCAGAATCAGCAGCGTCTTGCCCTGCTACCTCATGTAGCTCTTCGGATGTAAGGCACTCCCCCAATTTTGTGGGGACAAGCTGCTGCAAAATTGTTGCAAAGAGAAATACCAAGAACGGTGCTGCCGGTCTCAACGTATGTTGCTGCATCTGTACAAGGTGCTGCAAGGACTTCAGCAACCCATGTAACTGGGTAGAAGAGGAAGACCGAAAAAGTTGGCCTGAGAGCGTTATGTGCACTGGAGGCTCCTTCGAGATGCTGTCGTTCTCAGCAGCCGCACGGGATGCATCTCCTCGACACAAAACAGCTTTTTGGTACTGCCAGCGGATAAAAGCCGCTAGAAAGCGTTCTTTCTCCATGCCCTCCAAAGGCGCCACAGTCTGCGAGTCTTGAGCTAGCTCGTCCGAAGGGGCCGGCGCGACGCGTGGCGTAAGCTGTACCAGCCGCAAAGTCAGGACTGCCAGAACCATTGTTATTTCTGATTCTTCAAGACTGCTAAGCAAGCCAAAAATCCTGCGTCGATTTGCCAGTACAATTCCTGGGGACCTTCCCCTGAATAGCGCAAATCATATGCCCATCGAGGTTCAAGAAATAAATCGAAGCATCGCCGGGACTCAAAACTTTTAAGAGCAATATATACGAGAACCAGCAGAATACAAAATTCAAAGCAGCAGCTCATCCATGATCCTTCACGTGGCCACTATCTTACATTCTCGTTTGTATCTTGCTGATAAGTAAGCGAACGATTAGTGGAAGCATAAAACTACGGTGCTCGTTAAGTAGCACGACATTTTCTTTGGTTTCTGCGGAAGGTTGCAACAGGTGATGCTCCGCCTCTGCCTTTCCTAGGACAAGCCGCAATAGGCCCGACGGGGCTCCTCCCTTAGTTTTCAGGGCCTCTTCTAGCACTGGAAAATATGGCCTTACCACCTGCTGGAGCTCTCTACAGAGCATCAATGTCTGAACAATGAAACGAAAACGCCTTGAACACAATTTGGGCATATTAGTCGCAGCATCGCATTTTCCCAAGATCCCAGTAAGTCTTATCAATTCAAACACTTACCTGAAGGACAAGAGCTTGCAAGGAAGAGTCTTTCACACCGACGAGGCGCTGGGTGCAGCTCTCTAAAAATTGATACCAAAGCTCTTTGACCTCCTTGGCCCTGTCGTTCTTCTCCAAATGGTCTTCATAGGGAGCGCCAAGCAAGCGTTGACCAACACCCGGGGCGTGTATCTCCCCATGAGCCAAAATGGCTCGAAGCACATCCTGTGCTCGGGGGACTAAGCTAGCTGTGGAACGCAGCGAGATGCAACTGCACTGCCCCCAATACCCTTGTTTGTAGGAGCGAGCACTGCAAATCTCATTCGTGCCTACAGGAGCTTTGGCCTCTTGAAGCCCGCCGCAAGCAACTGCCCCGCCCTCACCATCAACGTCCTCTACATCCACGAAGCCTGTAGATGAAGAAGTAAGCTGGGCAGAAAGCTGCTGCCCGTAGATAAGGAGGAAACGGAGGGAATTCAGGGCGAAGTTGCGTCTCCATGCTGCTGCGGTAAGAGCACTAATTTCCCGTGATTTATTTGTTTCCTGCAGCATATCCTCATCCGTAGCGGCATGCTCCTGCTGCTGCTTTTTTGTCCGTGTAAATGCACTAGCACCCCAACGAGCGCCAAAGTGCTGCAAAATCCTCAGCAAGTGCGAATGCCTTTCTAGGGGTGCCGTTTCCTCACTGACGATTTCTTTTTCACTGGCTTTCCCCCAGGCTGTCTTCACACATTCTTCGCAGGTGCTGCAACTAGAATTCGCTGAGTTGTACGGCTCTGCAAGCATCGGACAGAAGCGGCATTCCTCTTTCTGCGCACCGTTCAGCTGCTCGAGAGCTCTATGCGTCTCCAACACGACGAGCCTCCACAAAAAAGTCAAAGCTTCATTCCGCTGTTGCTGCTCAGGGCAGAGAGTACTTTGGACTTTCGCGTCACGGGATGATCCCCCTAAATATCCATCGTATCTTTTAGCACATCCGGGAGCAGTAAAGTCATGGAAAGCCTCGATGCAACTAGTCACAGCTTCCACAACCTCCGGCCACACAGTTGCGAACTTGACCGATAGCCCTGCTAGCAGCACGCGGTACGCCACCTGGAGCAAGAGCACCAAGCCACTACAATCCGGACGTCCGTCTGTAGCCACCTTTGTCTCCTCCGCAGCTAGGGTTTCCTGAATCAGACAAATCTCCTTTGCAGAGGAGTGGATCAACTGGATCTTCTGACGTTCCGTCTCTATGTCCACTTGAAGCTTTTCCAGGAGCTCCAACTTCCGTAAGAGGCTGATTATGAGCAGGTTCGTTTTCTCGGAAGCAAATACAACGGAAGGTATTGGGCAACTGGTTGACGCAAATGCTTTCTGTCTTCCGCATGACAAAAGTAGAGTTGTGTCGCAGCTACAAATGAAGCGCAACGACCACAGACGAAGGCGACGTGACCCAGATGAGAGGTTCGGTAGCAATACCTTGATCGCCATTAGACACAAATCCTGCAAACAGTTCTTGTGCAAACGGCTCTTGTGCTGTTGAGCGCCTTTTATATTGGAAGAAATGCTACTGTTAATTAGCCTTAAGGCCAAGCAAAGGCTCTTGACAAACGCGGGGCTTGCTTGAGCCGCAGAATCTTGAACAGGACCCCTCTTAGAGCAGCGAGAAGTGGATGCCGAGGCGATGTGCGAAGACAACATAAAAGCAAGTACGCATTCTACCCAGCGCTCTTCAGGACTCCGATCACACATGGCAGTTTGGCACACTGACGCCTCCGTCCCCAAAGCAAAGCCTAAGTCTTGAAACAAAAGGTATCGGCGCGCTCCTTCAAATTCTGCTGCAGACAGCGATGTTTGGAATGAAGAGCCTTTGGGACCAATACAGCCGCAGGCCATGCCGATGCACTCACAGGTGCTGGTACTGCATACAGCAGCTGCCTTGCTGAGGCGCTCTGAGCATATCTCTATCAAGCAATCTGGAGGGCTCGGGCAACTGAGGTGGTCGTTACCATCTCCGCATTTCACGAGCTGCGGCAGCGCCAGGAAGGTAAGGAAACTGCGGCTGAATAAAAGAAGCAGACCATTGCGAGGCTTGTTCATTTCTTGTCCACCGTGGATGGCCTCAACCAGCAGACACAGGAGCCTCTGCTGTTGGTGCTGAAGTTGCACTGCGGCAGCTTGTGCTTCACTTGTTAGCTTTATGCGCACTGTAGGCTCCATCACCTCGAAACCCTGTTTACCGAAAATGACTTTTCGTAGCGCCCACAACCACTGAAGGCTCATAAGCGCACTAGCCAATCCCACTTCCAGCTCAGCGAAAGCCCCAGCCTTCTCCATTTCATCTCGAGCAGTATCAAGGCAATGTCTCAATGATTTCTCCACACGGTGCAATTCTGTACAAGTTCCCCTCAGGCAGCTCTCCAGGTAAAGCGGTAGTAAGAGTCGAATGAAGGAGGCAGTGTTGCTGGTTCCCACTAATATACCATCCCTTCCATAGGTCTTCAACAGAATCGCTAGTAAGTCACTGTATGCTGCCCATCTCCAGGAGGAGATATTGCCAAGCACGAGCTGCCTGTGCATTTTCTGCGCCGGAGAATTCCGCGACACTACCCAGCGAAAACTCTCACTTTCCCGAAATGAACTATCCGGTAATGCCATTGGCTGACTTGCAACAAATTCGACTGCCTGGCGCAGGCACAGAGATGAAAACCCAGCAACCGGGCTAGGCGCAAGAAGCAGTGTTCGCAAACTGCAGAGAAATACCTCCAACACTCGCTCAAGCAAAAAATACCTTCGCCATGCCATCTCCACTTCATTCGACTCAACCTTCCGCAATAGTTGCTGATGATAGCTCTGCACAGCTAACAAGGCATGCATTAGGTGCTGCAGCGGGTTGCCTTCTACAGAAACTGCTTTGGTGTAGCTGACAGCGACAGCTCTCCATGCAAAGACAATTAGTCGCAACAAGCAGCATGGAACAATAACAGCGACTGCCGCGGCCGCTGTCCAGTTCACATTTGAGAAGTCCCACAGGAGCGGCTGCAGCACTGGTGGAATCGCCGGCGACTGCTGCTGCACTGCGTCTTTTACATGGACGGCTGCAGGCGGTACCTTCGTGACTTCGTGGCCTCTAGACGGAGCCACACAAAATGGCAGAAGAGTACTAATCAATCTTTGAATGTAATCATCAAAGCTACCTGAACTTCTCTGCGCAGGTGCGAACCAGGAGGCAGCAGCATCAGCCATAGCGCAGGAGCCCACCAGGGGAGGAGGGGGGAGACAGCAACGGCTGCAAGGCATGTCTTCTGTTGATTTGCACGTAAACGGCTGATCGCTACCCAAGAAGTACCGAAACGACGTCAGTGGGAGTAGCGGGTAAAAGGTGAAAAACGGTGAGAATGAAGACAAAAACAGGCATTGCAATTCTTTCTCGTTAGCGTGCTGCGTCCTCCCCTCTTCACCCTGAGTATGCTGCTGGCCTCTCTTCAAAAGCATCGGATCGTTCAGCGCAGCATGCGTTGCTGCGGCAAACAGGCGAAGTGTTACTCTCTGTAGAGCCAATGCTGCCGGGCTCTCCGTTGATGATGCGTGTAGTCGTGCTTCATGGAGGTACCTCCGAACGCATTCAACATGCGCCATATACACCTGCCTGCCGCAGGCCTTGGAGCAGGTGAGGCTGCCGTTGCTGGAGTCACTATTGGCACGCAAAGTGCAAGAGCTGCTAGATTTGCTGCCAGCACGGCAACTGTTTTGATCTAGGGAGGAAGGAATCTCCAACTTCGGGGGCTCGTACGTTGCCCCAGAAACCGGAAGAGTGAAGCGCTCTCGTAAAAGAATATTAGCAACCAGAAAGCATGAAAGCCCCTCGAAATTATTTGTGAATGCCGTGTCCGATCCCCGAATACATTCAAAGAAAATGCGTGAGGCGGCGACAGAAAAAACCGGGAGCCACTGAGAGGGCACCCTGCAAGGCAACAGATCACATATCGTGACGAAAATCGAGACTGAACGCAATAGCATTTCGCAATAGCACACGCCCTTCAGGTCTTACACGCACAGGAAATGAAGGCGTACCATGGACGCCATTCTTCAATGGAATCCCTGCATGACAACTGCCAGCTTGGCAAGCCGGAAAGACCTTCATATTCACGTCTGACTTGAACTACTAGAGCGAAAATTCAGCTACACACTTGTGTTTCACGTTTTCGGCGGCTCACACTGGAAAGTAGTTAGTAATGGAGGCGACACAGTCATAGAAGGATTCTTCATCTCTTGCTGCCCTGCGAAGTACCGTCGCAACAACTTGAGCGGCCAACAGAGAGCTCGCTGAGACTTTGACATCGGTCGGCTCACGTTGCTGCTCGTAGCAGGAGTTTTTCCGTGGGCAGGCATTTCTCAGTCGCGCTGCCTTTATCCTGCGTTTGCGCGGGCGCTGTCGTTCGTCCTGTTTCTTGTTTCCTGAAGCAGAGTCAGTTGGCTGCTGGTGTTGCTGAGGGTGCTTCCCTTTATTTGTAATTGGCCTTTTGCGTTTCTGTGTTGTCCCGGGTGGAGGGCTGTGCAATAAAAGTGGCACCATGATCTCCAAGAAGTCCTCCATATTGGCAATTAGGTATTTGTGCAGATACCTGAAAAAAAACCGGATCAACAGACGAAATCGCATGCGCACAGAAACTAAGCATATGCACTTCCAGCAGTGTTGCACCAGTTTATCCATGTGGGGTCTAGATTCTACCGTCTCATGCCAAAATCTAGATCTTGACCCTGTGTACACGTTTGCTGTCACTGCTTATGCACCTTAGTATCTGCGTGAGGCACTGAAAGAGCTGCTGAACTCCTTCGGCATCGTTTTGGTCTTCCAAGTCGAAGATGAGGAGATGCAGCGCCCCTACGCAAACCTCCAGGTACACGAGGAATTCCTGACGCAAGTCCTGCAAACATGTGAGCAAAAGGCGGCGAGAAATGTCACCTGCTAAGGTGAAGGGGCAGACTGTGTAGGCGGAACGAAACGGTGAAGGTTACGAAAGAAGGCGTTAAGTGCAAGTTTACCTTCGCAAGTGCTGGTAGCAGCTGTAACACAACACTATAGGTGTCCTGACTTCTTAGATGGTCCAGCAAAATCTGCATGACCTCTTTCTGCTGGAGAATTAACAGTGGCAGCGACGTGGCAATGTCTTTTAGCTGCACTAGCAAGTGATGAGCAGGGCCTCGGGCCTCAACACCTTGCAAAATGTGTTCCACAAGGCGCGAGAAATCGCTCTCTTCTTGCTCTGTTCGCAAACGGACGGATACACATAAACTTTACCATCTTGACTCATATTACGCACGAATGCTCCGGAAGCGGATAGCAGGCTGACACTTGAGTGGAAAGACCTCTAAGCACCGCAGAAGGCAGCATCAGGATAAAGGACATAGAGTGGACGTTGGCGCCAAACATAAAATTTTAAGGCCACTTCATTCTTCCCTACCAATGCGTTTACGATGCTGCTCGACTTCATGTTCATCTGCTCCTTCCCTCAGTCGTTTCCATGTCCGTCGTTTTGCGGTTGTGGAAAGATCTATAACATCCAGGGTAGTCAGGTTTTGAGGTCCTGACTGTCCCTGTTGTAGCTGCACCTGCAGCTGTTGGCGAAAGGTTTGGAACACATACTTTCCACTTGATGCATCTCGTACCTTGCTGCCCCCGCCGCTACGGGGTTCAGCTGAGGTAGCAAAGGCAGAGACGGGAGAGTCTTTCTCGCTACTTGGGGCTCTCACAGTCTTACGCAGATCATTACCTGCGGAGCCAGACTTCTGCTCTCTAGACGATGACACAGGGGTAACGCTTCGCGGAGGCGAAGGTCCCTCATTATCCCTCGACAAGCTGGAACTACTGGGGGCCCCCATCTCCCCCGAGGGGCTGACGAGAGAATCTCATGCACCAAAGAATTCAAAGATTTGAATGAAGCGAAGTGAGACTGACGTGAAGAGACCGGAGCCAAAATTTCAAATATGATGGATACTACTAAGAACAGCTCCTGGGGGCCCCCCTGCTGTGTTGGCTGCGGCTCTACCGTGCAGGCCCAGTTCACTGTCTGCAATTAACTTTTTAGCTGCCACATAAGTTTAAATATATAAAAAGGAAATGATAGAAGCTACTAGAACTGTACGGGTTGGATCTTCAGTGATCTGTGGGGCCCCGGCCTTCTGTGGGGCAATCGAACGACTTGCTGATGAATTGTTTATCGCTGCACTTACAGCCACGCATTGGCGTGATTTTGTCCGACTCACTAGAACTGATTTTACTTCAAATCGGGGTCGGCATTGAGTTGCACCTTCGATCCCTGGTGTGGGCTGACGTGACTCTTTCCTTGTGCCTGTATACTGAGCCATTCCCAGTTTCGATTTCGTTCCCGTAAATACGCCTTCTAGGAGCATGCTGCTTAAGCTTAGTCAAATTGAACTTTTATACGTTCGACTTTCTCATCATATTATGTAGTTTCACGCTCATTGCCGCTCCATTACGAAATGTCCAGTGTGGCATCGCACTACAAACTGCACTTCCGCGACACAAAAAGCTCCATATGGCTTTCGAAATGTATCTTATGGCTAGAAAGAATTTCCGCGAGTTTTATTGTGGCATTTAAGGGTGGCTGTCTTGGCTAACACGTGGATGGGAAAATCCTCTCAGTGCATGTTTGTTGGAGAATGCACGATGCTTCTGTTTTACTTCGCGAAAAGGGATTTGAGCTCTACGGGGTACTGAATTTCGTCTCTTTGCATGAACCAGTTTTGAGCAGGCTTGCGTGCCTGCACGCTTCAGCGAAGTCCTGTTGATCCCATCCTGCAGAGAAGGCCACTGATATGCTTTACGGTGATGCTTGGGCGCCTGGAAAGTGCTTTAGTGCTAAAATTATTACTATTTGTATAGGCTTTCTTTTTTATTTAGTTATCTGCTTGTTTTCTTAGTCTACTATTTGTATTTAAGTAAGAGCATTTACACTAGAGTAGTTTGGTCACCTTTGTGCTCTTGGTAAGTGGCATTTATTAAATGTCGAATACATGGCGACTATTTTGGGTAAACTAACCCAAGCGCTATAGGCTAAATATCTTTGCCCTGTGGGTTGCTTGCGGTCTTAGTCGTGATGCATGAGAGCGCAAAAGAGTTTTTTGAAAGGGGAACATATCACACTGAAGTTGCCCGGGAAGTTCCTAATAATTCAAGTAAAACTTCTTATGAGGCGATGTTTGAGCATGTACGGGACGGTGAGGCCGGTGGCGTTGGTTTTCAGTCCCCCTGAGAACGTCCTTTGCCAGGGGCCAGCGAATACACTGGCGCGGAGGAGGCTCGCACCGATTCAAGTCAGCCCGACGCAGAAACACGCTTTTTAGATGACTCAAAAGGAGCAAAAACAGCGAAAACAATATGAGGCGAAGCTAAATTCACAAAATCTGGCTTCTAGCTAATAGTGAAAAACGTAGCAGAACCTTTTCCTCTAAACCACTGGTACACTTTACAGGCTACTATCAGAGGCCCAAAACTAGTCTGTTAGTTAGTAATAACTTCTGGAATTTTCAAAAAGGTTTTGGTTCATTTACAGCAGTACAATGCACAGAAAATTGTGAAGCTGACTAGCTTTGCAACTGACACGACCACAATAACAATTACTCAACCATGTCACATGAACTTTGATATATTACTCATATTTTTAATTTGAAAATGCCCTATATACGTGGGCTACATTGTTGGAAATTGCTGGACATGGTGCTTCCTTTTACAGGCTTTCGACTAGAATAATAATACCCGCAAAGAATATGGCTACTGCGGTTCCCTGGAGCCATGAAATAGCCCAAACATTATAATTACGGAAGTGAATGTTGTACAGTTACTCACATCTAATAATGGCTCAATTTTGTTCTCACGCCCTCGGTACACAGGTATTTTCAGGCTAGAGTGCGTGTGTTGAAGGCATTACCGCCGGGCCAGTGAAGGACTCGTTGCCACTCACCAACTTAACACGACCATCGTTAATCTAGGGATCACGTTATGGCGCCTTTACATCATGCTTCATACCTAATTGAGCTATGTATACAGTGGTAACGTTTTAAATTGCCTAATGCTGAAATCGGTCTGGGTTTGTCTGCTCCAAGTCTTCATTTGTCCGAGGCAGAGACAAGTTGATTACTTGAGCCACCAGCCTAAAAGCGTATGCCTAAAAATAAGCGTTACAAGTGCCAGGTACAAACACTCAATGGTGCTGAGGAAGCTGCTCGCGGAAACAATGTTGAATGCAGAAATTAGTGCAGCCCTTCTCTTGAATCAAGAGGCTGGCAGATATTTGAAGTGCGCAGTTGCAGTGTTCTAGCTCTAACAAGAACATCATTTGAAAGTTTCTAATTTAGTGAAACTGAGAAGCTGTTGCTACGTAGTTTGAGAACCAGGGTCTTAAGCTATTCACTACTCAGTGGTCTTCCAAGCTGCAGAACGCTAGACGAAAATAGTCTCTTGACCCACATTTCAAGCTCCAAAAACTTAGTGAGGGAGCTAAACCAACTTAGTTAACTAATATGTTAGAATGAAGGTTTGGGTTGACGCTTGCTGAATTCATTCTCCAGCTCGCGGTGAATCTCCCGAAATCCGCCAAGTCAGGCGCTCCACCTCTTCAGAGCGACCAATGGTACCGGTCTATTGACTACTTGCGTGGGAGCAAACCACCTGAATTTTGGTGTTTTGGCTAGTTTCCTAGCAGTTTTTCATTTTTTAGTATTTTTACGCTAAATTCCATGCTTTGGGCAATCAAAAACAGTGTGCTTCGCTCCACCCGACCTGGCGGTAGCAGGTAGTGGAGGCCAGCGTGCACAGATGAGTGGTGCAAAATCCAAGGTGAAAAGCACATTTGGTGCTTTATTTTCTGTTACAGTGGTTGATTGAGAGAGCACAGTCATCGCAAGTTCCTTTGCAGAGGAAGAAGGGGCTGACCATTGCCATCACCTGGCGACACGCAGTGCCGAAAAGATAAACGGAGCAGCAGGACCACGAAACAGGCGGCCCACCGCGTGTCACTTACAGACGCAAGAAAAAGGACTCTTCCATAAAACTGTATCGTAGTCGATTTTTTCGGTGAGAATCAAATAACTAAGGTCACTTCTCAGTGACCTTGGTGGACGACCCCACAGCCCGTGGACCAATGATCCCTAGTGTCACACACAGTTGACCGAAACTGCTCCAAAATGATTATTCTTCCCCGTCCATGCTGAGAACGTATTATGCAAGATTTGAAATGAGTGGCTGTGATATGTCACAGATGCGAAAGGATGGCGCACCCCCTCAGGAAAGTTGTCTCCGCAGGTCAGCACTTTCACTGTTTCTGATTGCTAAGACCGAAATTCACACGATGTGCCAAATTTAGAAAACTGTGGTGCTTTAGGTTGTTCCTTGTATGGGACTCAGGTCAAAAAACAACACTTGGAGGGCTGTGCAACGCCGGAGTCTCGGGCGGCGGCTGCGCCATCGGGCCCCCACTTCCATTTCCGCAGTATGCCGGGCATGGGAAAGAAAGCATTAGTGCCTTATCGCCCGGCCAGCAGCATACAGATACTGAAAATTTAGATTGTTTACCCCCTGTTAGGTTCCTTGATGCTACAGAATGTTTTTGGCATGCCTTCCAGCGCCTTGGAAACCTAGCAATAGTCAACTGTATTTCCGTTGATTCGACACATCCAATTGAGTTAGAGACTCTCAAGGAAGCATCTATACTTGTAGCAAGAAGACACCAGGCTCTGCGCCTTGTCATACGACTCACGGACACCAACTCCACAATAAAACAACGGGCAAGCGAAGATCACCACCTCTTGGTAGCCCACCAGAACCATCACGAGCTAGAGAAACAACGTGGAAGTGACGATTTGCTGGGCGAGGACTCCGTTGCAGGCGGTTGCGCGGAAGCCCCATTCCCATCTGCTCGCAGCTTCTGCACAGCTGCAAGTTGCCGCAGCAGCAGCAATAGTTCAAGCGAGCGAAGCAGCATTAGTAGTGATGGCCGGCGTGGTGTATGGGGTTGGAGAAACCGTCGCAGTGCTAGCGAGTTCGGAAAACGTGGAACCAGCAATGGAGCTGAGAACAGCAGTGTTCGCAGCAGCAGCTGCACCAGTTGCAGGGGAGCCAGCAGCGATGGCGAGAGTAAACAGGCAGGGGACGTGGGATTTTCACCCCCATGCAGCTGTAGGAAACGCTCCAATCTAAAGTTCACTTTCCATGAGAGACTGGGGGAGCCCGTCGTGGATGTTAAATACGCTACAGTCAATAATTCGCTTTCCTCGGCAGGGCTCAAATGGCAACAGAAGCACGGCGACGGGACGCAGCTTGATTTGGGACTTCTCGAAGAATACCCCTGGATGAAGGCCATGGCGTGGGAACAGAAAACCCCCCTTGACTGTGAACATGGTGAGCACCAATAATAAAAAGCTAGTGCGTTTTTAGAGAGCATGTGTTTTCTGGCTGTCACTTCAGAAATCAATATCGCTTGCCTTTTCTTGTCTTTTCTCGCTGTAGTCTCAGAAGCTACCTTCCGAAGCCGCACAATAATGCTCATATGCTTTAGTTTCCTCCCTAGTTGTTGGCGCCTCCTCAATGAAAGGAATTTTCTTTTTTCCTGCGACTTGAGAAACCTCGAAGCTTCAAACTGAGAGTTCGGATTCAAACCCCAGCATTTGCGATTGTTTTGCAGGGCCTTTGTGGCGGCTGCGGCTGGTGCCTTCCGAAAAGATGCCACTTGTTGCGCCTCACGGCAACTCTATGCCAGCAGTCTCGCAAGCGGTCAGCGGTCTGAAGAGGCCTGCAAACAGTCCTGTCTACATACAAGACAACATGTGTGAGTTACCTGTGGGCACAGTCAACAAGGGCAACAGCGGAGGGCGGCGGTTTCGTACTCACATCATTGGGGTTTTCCATCACTCAACTATAGATGGCCTTAGCAGAAAAGAATTCTGGGATGAAATTTTGCGGGCCATCATTGTTCTAAGTAATGCAAAAATATATGCAGATTATGCATCGCGGGTCAAAGCCCTCACAGAGGTGACAGCAATAGCCTCTCAGTCTTCGACCCACTTTCGCCAGCATACGCTCAGCTCGGAGCCAAGATTACACCAGCAGGGAAGCATGCAATTGGTGTCGAATTCTACTGCAGCTATGCAGACACCGCTCACTAGCCAGACGTACCGCTGGCGAAGAGGGAGTAGCAGCAACACCAATACTACAAGGTCTAGTGGCACGGTGTACTTACGACGTTGCAGCGCAGGCAGCTCAAATGCTGGCGAGCTTCCTATAAGGGGGAAGGACTGCAGTGGGGATCCGTTTGAGTCGCCCTCAGCAAACAACTGGTGTTATTATCGCCGACTGTCTGCTGTATCTGCTGGATCTGTAGACAGCTCAGCAGCTTACCTTTCAGAGTCATCACCTCAATCCACCAGCTATCAGCCAGAGCTCCAGCTTCGTCCTCCTGAAACAATACT